AAAGCTACAGCTTTTTTTTTGTTTTCCACAACAGGTTTGCTGCCAGAACACAGGTGTGAAAACCACCACTAAATCTAAAACAAGATGGGAAAGGAAAAGACTCACATCATCATCATCACCATCACCATTGGACATGTAGCTTCTGGCAAGTCTACCCCTACTGGTCATCCGATCTACAGATGTGGTGGGACTGACAAAAGAACCATCGAAAGATTTGAGGAGGCTACTGAGATGGACAAATTGAAAGCTGAACGTGAGTGTGATGTCACCTCTGATATCTTCCAAATTCAAGACCAGCAAGTATTATGTGACCATCATTCATGCCCCAGGACAAAGATACTTTATCAAAAATATGATTACAGGCACATCTTGGGTTCACTGTGCCATCCTAATTTGTTTGCTGGTATTTTTGAATTTGAAGCAAGTACCTCCAAGAATAGGCCGCCCTGTGAGCATTCCCTTCTGGCTTACACACTGGATGTGAAACAACTAATCGTTGTTAATAAAATGGATTCCATTGAGCCCGAGAGATACAATAGAATTGTTAAAGAAGTCAGCACCTACATTAAGAAAACTGGCTACAAACTTGACACAGTAGAATTTGTGCCAATTTCTGGTTGGAATGGTGACAATATGCTGGAGCCAAGTGCTAACATGGCTTGATTAAAGGGATGGAAGGTCACCCGTAAAGATGGTAATGCCAGTGGATCCACACTGCTTGAAGCCCTGAATTGCATCCTGCCACTAACTCATCCAACTGACAAGCCCCTGAGTCTACCCCTCAAGGACATCTACAGCGTTGGTGGTATTGGTACTGTCCCTGTAGGCTGAATTCAGATTGGTGTTCTCAAACCCGGCCTGGTGGTCACCTTTGCTCCAGTCAATGTGACAACGTGGTAATGCCAGTGGATCCACACTGCTTGGAGCTCTGGATGGCATCCTGCCACCAACTCATCCAACTGACAAGCCCCTGCGTCTGCCCCTCCAGGATGTCTACAAAGTTGGTGGTGTTGGTCCTGTCCCTGTGGGCCAAGTGGAGACTGGTGTTCTCAAGCCCGGCATGTGGTCACCTTTGCTCCAGTCAATGTGACAACTGAAGGGAAGCCTGTTGAAATGCACCATGAAGCTTTGAGTGAAACTCTTCCTGGGGACCATGTGGGCTTCAACGTCAAGAACGTGTCTGTTAAATATGTTAAATGTGGCTGGTGACAGCAAAAATGGCCACCAATGGAAGCAGCTGCCTTCACAGCTCAGGAGATTATCCTGAGCCACCCAGGCCAGAGCAGTGCTGGATTGTCACACAGCTCTTATTGCTTGCAAATTTCCTGAGCAGAAGGAGAAGATTGACCATCATTCTGGGAAAAACCTGGAAGATGGATCAAAGTTTTTGAAATCTGCCATCATCAGTATGGTTCCTGGCAAGCCCATGTATGGTGAGAGCTTCTTTGACTATTCTCCTCTGGGCTGTTGTGCTGTTTGTGACACAAGACAGACAGTTGCTATGGGCTTCATCAAAGCAGTAGATTGGCAAAGTCACCGTCTGACCAGAAGACTAAGAAGGTTAAATGAATAGTATTCCTAATACTTGCCACCCCAGTCTTAATCAGTGGTGGAAGGATGGTCTCAGAACTGTTTGTCTCAATTGGTTATTTAAGTTTAATAGTAAGAGACTGATTAATGATTGCAATGCATCATAAAACCTTCAGAAGGAAAGGAAAATGTTTTAGGGACCATTTGGGGTGTGGGGGGGCAGTTTTTAAGTTATTCGGGGTTTGGGGTTTTTTGGGGGTTTTTTGTTTGTTTTTTTAGAGAAAGAAGAAGGGAGAGGGATAGATAGAAACATCAATGAGAAACATCCATCAGTTGCCACCTGCATGCCCCTTATTGAAAATCAAGCCCATAACCCGGGCATATGCCTTGACTGGGAATCAAACCAGTGACCTCTTGGTCCATGGATCAACACTCAACCACTGAGTTCCACCAGCCTGGCAAGTTATTAGTTTTTTTAAAATATATTTTTATTTAGTTCAGAGAGAAATGGAGAGTGAAAGAGAAACATCAATGATGAGAGAGAATCATTGATTGGCTGCCTCTTGAACACCTCCCACTGGGGATTGAGCCAGCAACCCAGGCATGTGCCCTTGACTGGAATCAAACCTAAGACCCTTTAGTTCACAAGCCAACGCTCTAAGCACTGAGCCAAACCAGATAGGGCTAGTTTTTAAAATCAGTACTTTTCAATAGAAATAACTTGACCAAAAATCTGTCACAGAATTTTGAGACCCATTAAAACAAAGTTTAATGAGGAAAAGAACTTACAAAGCTATAGTAACCAGTCTGATACTGGTATAAAGACCCACATTTAGACCAGTGGAATAGAATAGAGAGCCCAGAAATAAACCATTGCATATATGGTCAAACTATTTTTGATAAAGATGCCAAGACCATTCAGTGGGGAAGACAGACAATAGA